GATAAAATTGACCACATGAGTTAAAACAGTATCAACATGCACGAGTCCACATTCACATCTATTTTTGATGACTCGTGGGCAGGATACATCATTTAGGCTCAACCAGTGTTTGGCAAGTTACTTTGATAAAGGAACTAGTTATAGTTACTAGTTACTACTTCAAAAAAATAACTGAGTTACAATATTATAAAAGTAACTAATTACTAGGAAAGATAACTAATGCAGTACTTCAAAAAACTGCTTGACCTTCTGGGGTCCTGGGTATAATTGGCCGTTTTTGACTACTTTTGATTTTACCTCTACTTTTCACCTTTAAAAACTATTTATCGTGCCTTGTTCGGTACACACTCCAAACACACTAACATCACAAATCTCTCACATCTCAAAACTTGCTCTCTCTCACTGCCGTCACTCCCAAAACGTTCCCCTCTTCCTAAACAACCAAATGCCATGTTGCCATTTTTTGATTGATCTTTCCACCAATAGGAAAGCGGTGTTTTTTCTTTTCCTTTCTTTGTTGGTTGCATGCAGAGAATGCATGCTTGCCAGCGCTGTCCTTAGAAAACGATGTTTGTACTGTTTGTAACCCTAATATAGTTTAAAGTCCACACTTTTAACACAAAAATAGAGACACAGCATCTTGCTTCTATGTCATCTTAAGTTGATAATGTGATTGGTTTACCATGACTACTTTATTCTCCCTCAGCCAATGAGCAGCACTCATGTGATTGCCCCCCCCCCCATAGCTCCCAGTAAAATGAAGAAAGCTTCAACCGTCTGTGTGCTGAAAAATAGTCTGCACTGCATTTTTCTTTTTATTAATGGTAACAGCATTGCAATGATAGAAATAGTAATTACTGAAAAAAGTAATGGAGTTAGTGACTCTATTACTTTTAACTCTGTTATTCCCATCGCTGTGATCAACACAAAAAGGCTTTGTGCCATATTGGGTTTCATTGCATTCAACACCTGATAAAACAGAGATACGAGAAACTGTTGTGCCTGAGACATCTGAATATCTTCATCTCATGTGTGGTGAAGCAGTGCAGTAAAGAAGCTGCTAATCAAAAGGTAGTATGCTACCGCCTGCATGCCATACAAACACACATACAGACATCTAAAACAGATGTAATAAGAACAGGAAATGCCAAACAGAAATAAATATCAATAAATAGACATGTTACCAAAATCAGAAGCAACCGCACTATTGCAAGTGAGAGTTATACTGGATTTTGGAAGTGTTAGGAGCTGAGAGTATCATGTTCGTTTAAACAATACAGGAGATGCATGGATCTGGCTTTTATGCATAGTCAACACTGAAGTTCATATTACTGCAGAGGGTACATAAAGCTGGATGCACATAGATCCCAGACCTGACAAAGTACCCAGTCTACATGTGTTTTAACCTTGTATTCTTTGCAAAGGCCAGGAGGTGATGACATCTTTGAAGCAGTTCTGAACTAAAGAAGCCTCTTGGATGAGAGGTGAAAAAAGCCTTAAAGAAAGTCATCTTTTTTTCAAGCTCTTAAGACTGTCATGACCTAGGTGACTGAGAAGCTGCACAGACTTTGGAGTCAGAGTTGAACAGCCTGCAAATTGT